TCTTTGTAGAGTAATTTTTATCTTTTTCTTTCCTCCTGAAAAGTGTTCAAGAACCACCACTGATATTTCACGATTGAAACTTTGTAATATTTTCTACATTTCTAGATGAAGAAGAAAAAATTTTGTCCCACAATTCTGCATTATAATACTGAAATATTGGATTTGTGCTTGAATATTGGAAGCAACCAATATCCATTTCCATACAGTGCAAGCATGACGATTTTCCTTGCTTAATCGTGTATTTAGTATTGGACTGCAAGGAGTGACAATAAGCACCAAAATATCTTGGAACTTTCCATTCTATATTTGTAACTTTTACCAATCGGTGTTAACACAGCGGAGAGATCCTGAGGAAGGTTGGAAAAACTAAATACAGATGAAGCAAGAAAGCTTTAAGTTGAAGCAGGAGAGAGGTATCGGTGAACCAGGAAAGGTAATGTCGACATACATAGTAAAAATCATAACCCGTGAATAAACATGCTTCTCAAAAGACATGATCCCATGATTACCAAAACCACTCACCAAGATTCACAAATTCAGTGAAAAATAAAACAAGAAAAACATAAAACATAAAAAATGATGGATTCTCACACCTGTTAATAAGATCCCAACTGAAATGACTAAGATAATGCCGAGCAGCTTAACACTTGGAGACTCCAATCTTCAAGAAAACAATTATTGAGTCAAAAGCTAACCTAACGAACCAAAGATGAAAAACAGAAGCAGGGTTTGGGGCGCAGAGCAAAGCTTGTCATTAAGATCTTAATAAAGCACAAGGTATAAGAGAACTGAAATATTACAGCACTAAGGATAGTAACAAAATTGTTAACTGTATGTGTTTTAACTTGTCATATTAATGGGAAAATATTTCTTCATGACTACATCACTACATACGAGAAAAGATTCACATGTCTTATGAGGTAATAACGCGGTAACATCTAAATTCACATACATTCTTATGCTCTTTTAGTACCTTTACAGAAACTAATTAAGTACAATCTAGCCTTATCCCTTGCTTGTCCAATAGAAAATTGTTAGTTTCTTCATGTATCACAAACTACAAGATTTCAGAGATTCCAATGAAAATTAGTATCCTCTTGCCTAATTAGAGGCCACATATAAAAGACAAAAGCCTTAACTAATCAAATAATCATGTTAGTCTGAGTTTTCAAAAAACGTGTTTACTGTGGTTTTCCCATGTTACAACTTCCATTCAAATTCAGTCGATCCGGAATGGATCGGGTAAACATTCCATTAGGGACTCTGGTCTTGACTCTTCCGTGTGATATTCATTCTAGTTCAGCTCTTGGATTAGCATCCAGCAGTGGTTGGAAGTTGGAACATCTCGCAAATGCACCTACTTTCGCCTGCTTCATTGCTCCCAACCCCTTTTCATATTCCTCTACCTTCGTATCTTTGTTTCTTAATTGATTAGGTCAGAATTTTACAATGGACCTCATAACAAGGACCACAAAATTTCAGGTTTAACAAAACAATATAACCATTGTAGTATTTGTAATAAAAAAATGAACAATATGAAACCACGATAGCATGGCACAAACACAAGCTGATAACATGAGTTTATCACCCCCTAATTAGAAGTTAACACATGTCTGACATCAAAATAAATTAAACTCATGTAATAACCAGCACAGTACATGGAGACATACCTGAAAGCAAAGGCAAAAAGAAGGAGAAATATTGGAGACGCCGATTTACACTGCAAATGTAAAGAGTCAATTAACAGAAGATACCTGTGTGATTATTACTATAGTGGACTGACTAAGAGTAAATTTGGCAGTTAACTCTGAGGCAAATATAAACCAAGATTTTCTTTCTTCACTCAATTGTGCGAGACTATCAGCAAAAGGAAATAATCAAATGCCATAGACAAAATTCCAAAGCAATAAAAAAATATTGAAGCATGCATATATATCCAACTTCATAGAAGAAGAAAGACAAACCATGGTGGCAAATGTGACGGAGATGAAAACCAGGGATGCATTGCTTAGATTTACATCCATTGCTGTGCTGAGAGCCGTAGGTACAACTGTGACAGGCAAAGGCCATCTGTAGCATTAGTTGTCAGAGAAGTTAATGATACAAGCAACTTTAAGTAACAAAGGAAAATGAAAAATGATACTGCTTTCATGAATAATTCATCAGAGTAACCAAAAAATACAAGTCATAAAAGATCAGTGCCAGGCATAATTTTAATCGAGATATATCTCAGTTTAATCTATGTATTTAGCTCGGCCGTCTCAGAGGCATATACATCACCTAGGGAAAATATTGAGCCTAGTGTTCTATGTTACACTGGAACAAAGAGTCAAGAATAATTCAGAGATCAAACAAAGATCTTCATCAAATTCTTACTCAGTTTGCAAGTAACCAAATTTCAGAATGATTAATTTAAATCAAATACTAATGCCAAAGTTTCTTTATTCAATTTGAGCTCCATGCTTTCATCAGTTGTAAAAAGTAAACTTCCATCATCCGTCAAACTCCATTTCGATCATCCATGGAGTATTAGGCCTCCATATTCAATGAAAACTTCTCTAAGCCAAGATGAATCTCGCAACCAATCAATTAGGCAAAAGAAACACAACTTCTTGAAACAAAGGAAGCTTAAGTATATTTGAAACCAGCAAACTGCTTCTCGCAAAAAGAACATTTCACTGATGCCTCTAAATGCAGTGTGATGTACTCACCTCCTGACATTAATCTCCATTACTAATACATAGGTTGATTGTTTCACTTCTCATATCTTCCTTATGGACTTACTAAATATATGAATTCTATGTATGCACAAACAAAGAAAGAAATAGAACCAGCAGAGGAACAACAGATGCATGCATAACTCGAACGATTATCTAAATTATAAGAATACATTGACCAGTGAAAAAGAAAAAAAAAACTGTTATCATTACTTCTTTTTCTCCATAAGGATTCATTGACTAGCTCAAACCTCTTTTCCATACACAAAATGAAACATATAAGAGTGTATTAAATAATCTTGCAATATATCAGAATGAACAGCATAGACAAAGCTAAACCACTCTAGCTAGGGCAACCGATATTAAGATTGTTGTTACGCATGAGATGAGTTATGCGAAGGAAGAATACAAGTGATTAACTATTCACAGGATACACTAGTCGTAGACATGCAAGTAGTTGATTAACAAAAAGTGCACACCAAAATTTGTCCTACCTCTGACAAAGTAATCCTTCCATGACATAACAGAGGGATGGAATCTGTCAGACCAAAACCATGTAATGGCCTTGGACAACACAGCTTGCATGGTAAAGTGGACAGTGTTCATCAATAGTGGGGCAGGAAATTTCCCCATTTTATCCCCTAACAAAGTTTTATTGTACCTGCTCACAAAGTAATTAAGAACAGAACAGAAAAAAAAAAAAAGAAAACAAAAAGAAATATAAAAGGAGTAAACAAATAGTATAAGTCAGGCCATCTCAAGAAACAACAGTAACGCAGTATCGGCAATACAAAAGACAGAACTTACAGTGTAAGGAATGTACTGAAAGTATACCAAACCAATATAAAAAACAGAGTCTTCAGCACATCCGCAACAGAAATAACGTTTTCTGCAGTTTTCCTACATGTGGGATTGTAGTCAATGTGATTAAGGCCATCAGTGGTGCGGTCGTATCTTTCAATGGTGTTGTCATCTTCGATATCAAAAGGCACATAACTCTCGTTTTGATTTCTCAAACCATTAGTGGAAGTAATGTCAGTATCTACCATATGCTCCATCTTCTAATGTAAATTGGTAGAACAAAATTGCGCTCCTCCTAAAATTTCATTGTCTGGCCCATTAGCATGAACCAAAGGCAACTCAAAATTAAACCCGTTTTCATTCACAGTGTCACTTTTCGAATGAGCCAGTCGTGGGATTCCAGCTTCAGCGCAACCGACCAGAGAAGGAAGGTTCCCGTCTAATTCCTATTCTCTTATTTTTATTTGTCAAGTATTCACTACCAGTTTCCTCAACACTTGATGAATTTCCCTTCACATAATTGTTTCCAAGCCATAGCCAAATATCCTCATTTTCTCATATGATTCTGCAAAAATAAGCCGGAAAAGGTCGATCTTCGCAAACGAAAGTAAATGTATATGACGAGAGTACTAATAACTAATTGTCTTTGTAAACCACCATCCTAAACTCACCAAATCACGATAGAACAAATCAGGCTACTGTTTCAGACAAGTATTGTGCCGTCCCCCCTGAAATAACGACCAAGAAAACGGGCAAAACAACTCAGATCTTCTCCATAATAAATCATAGTAATAACTCAGACAAACTTTACACTGATTGTTCAAAACGTATGTTGATATACATCCAGCAAGGAAAAGCAAATTATAGACCAAAAGCCCGAAAGTAAATTTGGATCTAAGTATAGTGATGTTAAGATTGGCAAGCATACAGATAGATGAATGAATAAACAGTTTCATAGAGAAGAGATCTTCAGAACTGAGCCGAGCGCTTATTCAAATGTTGTGGATCTTCTCAATCTCAAATGATGCAAGGGACAAATAGTACTAGGTCACGAAAGCCTATTAGATATGTATCTAAACATTTTTATTTGGTAAAGGGTTTTGCTCAAGGCTTGTAGGTGAATTGGTGTCGGCAGTTAAAACTGTTGCAAATAGCTTTTTGGATGC